GGCGGGGAAGGGGCAGCCGGCTCCCCAGGAGCTGGTGTGTAACCGTTATGGCAACCAAGAAGCTCATGCTTCTCGGTTAACCATTTGAAGGGGAGGCAGGGCTTTCCAATCCAGGCCACACATCAGAATCAGACCCAGGTACGGTCTCGGGACTGGTAGGTTTTAAATGGTCCTGCTGTAGCTGGTGCTTCTGGAGAGCAAATGTGAGAATTCTGGACCTGGTTTTCCTGGGCTCCCTGCCCACCGTGGAGGCCGGCTTATCCTCCCTGCCATGCTTAACAAGGGCTGAAGCCGTTTGCAATGCTGGCACATAATGTTCCAGGGTCGGTGTTCTAGCCCCGCATGTTGATTGCGAGCCCGGCTCACAGCCCCTCCCTTTGCAAGCGATCGGGTCGATTTGGGCTGCGCGTGCGGGGGTCCGAGCGGGGGGCCCGGGCCACGCTCCCGGATCATAAAGATTTTGCAGCGGGAACGAAGTTTCCACCCAGAGTTTCTTGGTCACTGGCCTCACTCTGCCAGGACCCTCCAAGGCCCAGCAGGCCTGACGCTCCCATGGGGAGGGAGCAGATTGGCCCAGGGAGGGAGGCCCCGTGCCGCAGGCTGTCGGAGGGCAGGGCCGGCGCCGGACGGTGCTGCCCAGACCATGCTGAGCGCGGGAGGTGTTTTGCCTCCGTCTCCGCTCACTGAAGCATGTTGTACTTTGGAGCGTAACCCAACACCAGCCCAGCCAGCGCAGGGGCACCGCAAGGGGAGGCAGGACATCTGAGTTCAGGCCATGAGTTAGCTCCACCTGGGTGCCTGATCCTCTAACGTCCTACCACTAGCTGGGCCCGTTCAGCTCCAGGATGGGCCATATTGCTGGTTACACACACACTGCAGCCAGCTGCCCCGCCCTGGGAAGACACATGGGTCTCCCCTCTGGGCTCTCAGTCCAGACCCCTTCATGGGAGCAACCAATTCACCTGACATTTGTCCCAAGGCCTGGTCTACACACACAGGCTGTGTCTACGCTGGCCAGTTATTCTGGAAAATCAGCCGCTTTTCCGGAATAACTTGCCAGCTGTCTACACTGGCCGCTTGAATTTCCGGAAAAGCACTGACGATCTCATGTAAAATCATCAGTGCTTTTCCGGAAAAACTATGCTGCGCCCATTCGGGCAAAAGTCTTTTTCCGGAAAACTGTTCCAGAAAAGGACCAGTGTAGACAGCAGAGATTTCTTTTCCTCAAAAAAGCCCCGATTGCGAAAATGAATGATTGGGGCTTTTTTGCGGAAAAGCGCGTCTACATTGGCACGGACACTTTTCCGCAAAAAGTGCTTTTCCGGAAAAGCATCCTGCCAATCTAGACGCGCTTTTCCGAAAATACTTTTAACGGAAAACTTTTCCGTTAAAAGCATTTCCGGAAAATCATGCCAGTGTAGACGTAGCCTGAGATTTTAAGGTGAGATTTTAAACCGGTTTGGGGCAACGTTGTGTGTGGCCACCCAGAA